AAGAGTGTGCTTCCTCTTTATGATCAATGCCTACTTTTAATGGCAAGCGTCAGAGCTATTTGAGAGTGGGAGAGGTTGGGGGTTTTAAATCAAATGGGAATAGGCGAAGTGAGCTGTCAGTTGGAAGACACCCAGGTGGCGGGTGACAGGCGCAAAAGTGTTGGCTCCTTGGTTTGGAGCATCTAGGAGAAGGAGAGAAGGCACCTAAGCGGCACTTTGGGTGGCAACCATATGCTAGGATGGTGTCTGGGCACTACTTTGGAGGAGCTCATGCGCCTCCTCAAATTGGAGCGACTGAGAGAAGATTGGATGGGGCTCATATATGTCACATTGAGAGGTGCCAAGGTGTTGCCTGATGCCTAGGCGCCATTATGAGTGGCGCCTAAATGGCACTTTAGGTGGCGCCAAGGTGCTACCACATTTCTTGAGTCTACTTGAGAAGAGAGCTTAGAGCATGGATTAGAGAGATTATTTGGCATATTTAGTTAGAAAAAATAAAGAGAACACAATGGTAGTGGTGGTTTTGGTCAAAGTGGTCACCATGTCATGAAAATTGAGGTCAAAGTGTGAGACCCAAAGTAAAGTTTGATTTGGGTACAGAGGGGCTCATTTGAAAGTTTTCCACGATTGAGACACTTTTTTAGATTTTATTATGTAAAATGATGGTCTAATGGAATTTTTTTATGTGGGACCAATTTCCATTTATGCATACAAGCTCATGACATAAAATTTTATATATATTTAATTGACAACCATCAAAACATATTGCATGTTATTCATATAATAATAATGAAGTATATGCAGCTTATAGCATGAAATTCCAAACACTACAATGATTTGTAGAGGAAATAATAATTTTGATGCATAAAATTATAATTCCAGAATATTCTCTCACCATGTTGTATTTACATCTAGTTTTAGGATTTGATTGAAGTTAATTATGTTTGATTTTCCTTTTATGTGATTTATTGCAAATTTGTCTTAAATATTTAGAGTGAATGAGGAGTTGACCAAACATTAGGTCAATAATTCATCCTTTGTTTTGAGTTGATATGAGGTTTTCCCTCACTTTAACTTAAGTTAAGGTTTGCCCTTGCTTTAAATTGAGAAAGGTTCAACCTCACTTTAAGTTGAATTAATGTTCATCATAGCTTTAAGTTGAGTTAAGGTTCATCCTCACTTCGTCGTCAAAGTAGTTCAACTTTAGATCACTCATATGCCATAGCCAACCAATGACTAATAGAATAACCTAACTCTATTTACAAACTCAATTGTAAAAAAAATATCATATTCTTATTGAAACCCCTACAAAAAAAAAGATTAGCACAAAATAGCACACCACAAGCATAACAATCATAAAGACTAAATGGAACTAACACCACAATGTTAGGCATCCAATCCTAATAGACCATACTTATGGCATGATCTTAAACTTATAAAAAGACATTGCATTTATATTTTTTTGTTTTTTGTTGGTTGCCCTACTAAGCATGACCTCATGTAGAAAAAAAGTGCTAGAAATAACAAAAAAATGATTGCACGAACATTTAATATTGCACACAAGCTACCATAACATCCAATATAATAAGCAAATTAAAACATCACATTAAACATAATTAAACACAATCACAATTATAGTTGACCTAAATTTTTATATAAGTTTAGTGACCTAACAAAAACATCTAGAGTTTGAACGATCTGAATAGTGAGCCAATAATCTAGGCCTAGAGTTTTAAGTTGTTGTTTTGATTCAATGTTCAAGTTTTGCCAAAATGTGTTTCAATTTAAGTATTTCGTATTTTAAAAAGGTGATTTAAACTGCTTGAAAGGTGCACTGAGTGTAGATCATGTCACAGATAAGGAGATGGGTTACACAATGAGCAAAAATAAGTAATTTGGTAAATTCTAATAACATGGCTAACAATGAGAGAATCTCTCAAAACACTTTTTTTTTTCATTTTATTTTATTTATTTGTTTTTTTTTTGTTGAATCCACATAAATAAATTAATTAGTAATGCAAAC